TGACCTTGGGTGGAGCTGCATGTGGTGGCTGTCTTCTGCTGAAAGGCAGACCATGAAAGCCACACCAGGTGGGGGCGCAGGGGGTCACATGGCTGCCTCCGTGGCCTGCAGCAGGCTCAGGGGAGCCTCTGCCTCCCCTCCAGGCCCCCCTTACACTGCAATAAGAGAGCAGTCACAGAGGCGGGACGGATGGAGCCGCTGCTCTCACCCCCCACCTGCCCCAGGGTCGCCAGGGCTCCGCACTGCCTCCCACGGCGAGCTTGAGTTCCCCCTTGATTTCTGGAACTTTCCAGTTCTGCCACTGCCCTTCGACCCTTTAGGCCAAGCGTGTTCCTCCATCTTCCCGCCTCACTCCCACCTTTCCACCTTTGCTTCAGCCGTTGCTCCTGCTGGCAGTTTAAGTCCCTACCTCCCCTCCCATCTCATCTGCTCAGGCCAAGTCTGTCAAGATTCCTTTAAACCAAGCAGAAGTTCCCGTCCCCTGGGGCTGGCTTCAGTGTCAGCCCGCCCCTCTGCCACCACCACGCCTCCTTCTCCAGCCCCCACCCCACACCCAGCACCTCTGTCGGGGCTGCACTCCCTGGAAGCAGGACTTGGAAAGGTGCGAGTGGCGGGCCACCCCAGATGGAGCAGGCCTGGGCTGTAAGCACCACCTGTAAACTCCCAGAGAGCGTGGAAGCAGGTCGCGGGTGCAGTGCGGGGAGGGCGTGGGCTCCTGACCACGAAGGTTGTGGGGCCCCCCCGCAGGTGCCTCTCCGGGACCCTGAAGTGGTCTCTGGTGGTCCCAGTGCCCTTGCCAGCAGAGGTGCCGCCTTCCCTGGGCAGCGGTCTCCCAGCCACTTCAGCGGCCGGGGCCCTGCTGTAATAACCGTGATTGCCGGCACCGCCGCAGGTGCAGGTGTGAGGTGCCAGCCACTGCTCACTCGAGCCACGAGGCACAGGCGGTGCTGCGACCGCTCTTCCGTGCGCCTGACGGGAACTCGAGTCACCTCCCTGCGCTGGTCTCCAGGCCTGGTCCTCAGCACCCAGATCCTGTTCTCTGGCTGGTATGCACGCCTCCCCCTCAGAGCCGTAATGTCACGCGGGGCGGTGGCCTCAGGAGCAGCAGGGCCTCGGTGAAGTTCCTGTTCCTGCATGCACCACCAGCTGGGCGACCCTGTGAGCAAGCCCTGCCACCTCTCCAGGTCCCCGAGGGTTCATCTGAAAAGGAATGGAAGGAAGGCCGTCCCTGAAGGGTCGTAAAGAGCGCACAGAGTGAAGCGACCCTGTCGGCTCTCCCTGGCCCCCAGCAGCACTCAGTCCACGCGGGCTGTTAGTGTGGCCTCGCTGCTAGAACACCTTCCCCTGCAGGGACAAGCCCTGGTCCCGTCCCCGAGGCCAGACTCGTCCGGCCTCGAGTGTGTGAGCAGCAGCAGCCTCTGCTGCCCGTGGGGCTCCTGAATGCCTGACTGTTTCTGTGCGCCGGAGCGTCTGCCGTCCCCTTGGGAGGCTGGTGCAGTGGGATTACTGTGTGCGCTTGACAGGTGAAGGAGCCAGAGAAGCCTGGCAGAGGCATGCTGCCACTCCGCAAGCGCGGGCCGGCCGGACCAGAGCCCGAGCCGCGGGCGCCACCTCGGCCAGGACTTCCCTGCAGCGCATCCCCGGGCCCCTGTCTGTACTTCACTTGAGCTCCTTTCAAAAACTGAAATCAAATTCCTGAAACCTCTCAAAACCATACCACACGGACAACTGCCCGCCCGCCCGGGCCTAGGCTGTGGGCTGCGGGAGACACCCACGCCGGTCACCTTCCTCGCTCTGCACCTGTGGTCTGTGCGGCCCTCGCTCACCAAGCCAGGCCCCTCGCACTCTGCAATCAGCCTCTCCTCTTGGGCCTCTTGTTCCCCTGCTCTGGAAGTTCTCCGTGGTCCCACTGGCTTTGCTTTCCCATGGCGGCCGGCGTGCCAGGAGGCCACATGGTCACAAGGGAGCAGCTTCGTCATTTCCACAACCCACTGGCCTCCCTCGATGGGGGACTGAACTGAAGCTGCTTGCTCCAAGGCCGTGAGGAAGCCACTTTCCTCTCGGTGGGGGCCAGTTGGCCGGAACGCCAATCAGAGAACAGCCCCGAGGACTTTCCCCGCTCCCCTGCCCTCCTCAAGGATCCGGGAAGAGGGCGAGGGGGTGAGGAGCTGGGTGGGACAGGGGCAGAGACAGGCCGGCCAAGTTCCAGGGCTGCCCTTTTCACCCGGGAAGTTCTTCTCAGAGGCAAGAGACTCAGGCCCAGCTGGGGTCAGACCTCCACCTTAGTCCCCGGAAGCCTTTAGAAGCGGGGGCCGTGGACACCTGCTCCTATCCAGCTTTCCCCAGGAGAGGCAGCTGGAAACGGCTACCCACACCTTTCTCAGAAGGCGTCCCCCAGCGTCCTGATCTGCTAGGAAGGTGAATCACCCCAGTCATGTCCCGGGGGCCCTGGCAGGCCAGGGAGCAGTGGCGGAGGCTTCTGGGCGGTGGCAGAGCTGCCCCTGGCTCCTGGCCTTTAACCCCCTTGGCTTCTCTTTCTCCATGCATGAAGGCAGCTCAGATCCCTGACGGTGGGCCAGACAGGCCCAGGTTCTGGAAGACCCTGCTCTGCAACTTGCTGTGTGGCATTGGGCAAGTTACTCAGCTGCTCTGAGCCTGTTTCTTGCCTGAAAAATATGGTTATGAGGCTAGAATAAGGCAAGAAAGCCTAGGGCGTGTGGTTTAACCTGCGTGACTGCGGCTGCTGGTCCCCTCCTTTTCACACGTGGCCACTTGGGTCAGGATGTGTGGCCTCGAGTGTCACTTCCTGGCTTGTCTACAGATGGCTTCTGCACCCCTGTGTCGGGTCAGCTCCTGACCGTCCAGGGAGAGTGCGCCAGCTGTCTGGCCAGGACGTGGGCAGGGGGAGCCTGCCCTGATCCCTGCGGTGTCAGATGAGAGGCTGGTCAAGACCAGGAAACCAAGAAACAGCTAGTCAGAGAGAGGCTGTCGGCCCCCATGAAGCGCCCGCCCTGCCAGAGAGAGGAGGCGCCTGGGTGAGCCCGAGGGCTCGGGGACCACTTCCTGGAAGGGGACCTAAGTGACAGCCAGGACCCCGGGCTTCTTGCTATGAGTCCTTGCCCTCTCCGGGCCCCAGGGAGACTAGGCCTGTCTGGCCGTAGCTTACGTTCACCGAGCTCTTCTCACGTGAGGGCCTAGAGGTGACTTAATTCAACCGCCACCACGGCCCTACGAGGGGTCCGCGCTCTCCAGGCGGGGAGCTGAGGTGCGGGAGAGGATGGGCAGCATGTCCAAGCTCATGCAGCTTATAGGATGCAGGCGGCCGGGCAGCCCCACCCGGGGTGGAGGGCAGGGGCGGGGGCCCTGTAGCCCGCGCTGTGGGGCAGAGCTGCCCTTAGCTCCGTGAGCACTGGTGTCTCCGTGGCAACCCGCTGGGCCCCTTGAGAGCCCGCTGGCTAGCAGCTCCGTCAGCGCGGGCGTGCGGGGGGAGCTCAGGGTCTCCCGTTCAGTGTCTGAGAGCACTGGTGCCACTCAGCCTGTCAGGCCTCAACTGTCCCCCCCCCGCAAAGGGAGGTTACACGCCCTCTCCACTGGGAAATGTTGGGGTTGACAGAGGCCCCAGCTTTGCCTTGTGAGAGGAGCGGAGATGCCAGGAAACGTCTGTGTTGGGCAGGCGTTGGGGTTCCACTTGGCGTAGATGCTGACCCGGGGAGGAGACCTGAGCTCCAGGGGTGCAGCGGGCCCCCGCAAGGCCACACCTGTAGGAGGTGGCAGAGCTGGATGACTCCCAGAACAGTGCTCTTCCCAGCTGCCTCCCAGGGGAGGAACTGTCCTCGGCTTCAGCCTTAGGAGCCACATGGGCGACCACCGTGGACCCTGCTTTCCAGTGCTTGGGGGGCCCGCGGTGCCCCAGGATGGCTTCCTCTTGGGCGGGGGCTACAAAGCAGGGAGGGAGACACGTGAGGCATGGAGAGAAGGGAGTGGCTGCAGCCAGTGCTGGGGTGTCGAGGACTGGGGGGCCAGCGTTCCCCGGGGGTCATGCTCCCAGGCAGAGCAGGGCTCCTGGGTTCTCACTGAGAACTGCCCCCGACACAGAGCCCTGCAAGGGCAGGGTCCTGGGCTAGGCACATCTACACGCTAATTAATTCGTTTCATTCTCAAATTGGAAAACAACCTTACAGCTGGTACTGGAATTCCTCTAAGGAAGAGAACCATCTCTGTTGAGAAAAACATGTGGCTGAGTCTCTGGGGGAGGAGGGAGGCCCTTCGCAGGAGGGAGACAGCACCTGGGGGGGGGAGGGGATTGGCGCTGTCAGCGGCGCCGGGAGGAGCGCGGTGGCCGGTGAGAGGGCAGGACGCGCTGGGACAACGCCCAGACGCCGCATCACCTGTGGCCAGGTCTGCCGTGTGGCCTGCGGAGGGGCCGAGGCTGTTTGCAACCGGAGGCGGAGGGCCCGGACCCTGGGCCAGCAGCGAGCAGCCAGGAGTCCGCCGGGGTTCAGAAGAGGGCTCTGAGCTCCTCCGCTTGTGGTGTTGGGCCCCGAGACCCGGACCTGACAGGGCAGGGAGGCAGGCTGTGCTTAACATCACTCTCCAGGCCACCTCCCAGCTGGGAAGCAGTGGAGTCAGGAGTCAAAGCCAGGCTTCCCTGACGATACACTCGCTGGCCAGTTTGGTCTGGCCAATGGCCAATTGTGGCAACCATCCATGTTTATCTTCAAACCTACCTGCTCTTGAAAAAGGGTGTGTATATAAAGCTGAATCACTCTGCTGTGCACAGAAACTCACGCAACAGTGTAAACCAGGTAAACTTGAGATGAAATAAAAGCCCCCCTGCTCTCTCCCCGCCCCTCGGTCCCCACCTGACTCCCAGGCAGAGAGGGAAGGACTCTCCTGACTCCCTTCCAGGGAGGCCTCGGGGACACCCCCCTCCGCCCCCGGAGGGGCTCCACGTTAAAAACGGCCCCTGCAAAGGGCACGGCTAGTCCCCAAGGCAGCCCTGCAACGGGGAGGAAGCGGCGGGGACGGGTGCCAAGGAGCAGAGCGCAGGCGCTTCTGGGCGCCAGGAAGCTCAGTCTAGCACAGCAAAGTGGCAAAAAGGAAGAACAAAACAGCCGTCTATTTAGAAGAGTAACGACAGGGAAAAATACATTTTCATCAGCTCGTCTTCTCGCGGCTGAGTCCCCGCAGCAAGCTCCAAACGCCGACGTTAGGAAATAAATCAAAATAACTTTGCTGTGTTTAGCCTCGTGTTGCCGCGTCCCTCAGCTCTGCGCTGAAAAGCAACAGGTACGTGGTGTCTCTCCCAGAAACACGGGAGCGGGTTTAGAATGCAATTACGGGGGCTGGCGGAAGGGAAGGGGAAATGTTTTTCTTCGGTTGATGCATGATTGCCCCCATGCTGTTTGGAACCGCATTTTCGCCGAGCTCTGCTAAGAAGTGCTGTTTGCCGGAGCGTGACAGACGGAAGCGACTGGGCTTGGCAGGTCTAAATGTATTATTTCAGCAGGTCTCCAGGGGAAGATTCCGGGAGGGGCGCTGGCCTTTTAAAGTGCAGAGGACAAGGGGCAGCTCAGCCTCTCTCCAGCCTGTCAAGGCCGATCGGCCAGCCTGGAAACAGCCCCTGAACCTCCTGGAGAGGGCCCCCCCGCCGCCGCCCCCTCTCCTCCCCTCCCTGCCGCCCTCGGCTCCCACTTCACAAGCCCCGTCAGTCACGTGTGCAGCCAGCCAGGCCTTCCCGGGCGCGTCTGAGAGGCTGGCTCTCTGCTGGGCACTGCAGGGCTGAGAAAGGGCTTGGGCCTGGGTGGGGGCGCGAGGGAGGCTGGGCCTGCAGGAGCCCACAGCGTGGGGGGGGGCAGCACAGCCAGAAGTGTGGTGCGGCTGGCACATTGGAACGTTCGGGAAGACGCCGGTGGCGGGAAGTAGGCAGCAGTGGACTGGAAGGACCCCGCGTAGAAACGCCCACGGAGGAGGGCGCAGCCCGAGGACCCCCGGGCAGGACGGCCGCGGGGCTGGAGTGGGCTGAGCGTCGGACGTGCCGAGGCTGGGCCCCTGCCGCGTCAGACTCTGCCCTGAGCGCTCTGCTTGTAGTAGTTCATTTCATCATGACGACCGCTGGGAGGTTGGAGCGTTGTCCCCGTTTTGCAGAGGAAACTGAGGCAGAGGGCGATGAAGCGTCTTGCCCCAGGTCACTCATCCTGTGACAGCAGAGGCCGGCTGTGAGCCACCGTCCCAGCCACTCTGCTGTGGGAAAGCCGGCAGGGGCTGGCCCGGGAGCTGGGCCCGGGCTGGGCGGGACCAGCAGCCCAGCGGCCTCCTTTGCCGGGCTCTTACAGTGTACCAGGCACTGCGCTCAGCTCGGAATAAGGAAATGGATTGACCTCGGCCCCTGCTTTCAGGAAGTCGACGGTCAGATGAAGAACATGGTTGTTTAAGTAAACTTTAAAAGCACAGCGGAGGATGATGGTACAACAGCAAAGAGTTTTTCAAGACACAGAAGCAGCGTGGAGGAGCAGCTGACTACGTTAGTCCTCTTGGAGGGTGAGGCAGGGAGGGCTTCCCGGAGGAGGTGATATGTAATCTGAGTTTTACAGGAGGAACAGAAGTTGCTGTATGGATAGAAGGGGCAGTGCAGGGAACGGCAAGTGGAAACAGGCCCTGGGGTGGAGGAAACTCCTGAAAGGACCGTGAGCCACGCCAAGGGGTAAGGTGGGGCCACGGATGGGGAGGTTGTGAGGGGGAGAAAGTGGTTGATTCTAGCTTGGAAGCTTAGGGGTGCTGGGGTAGGGAGCCCAACAGGTCAGTCTAGTGAGGGCAAGAGAGCCACGTGTTCTCTGAACCTGGGTTTCTCAGCCTTGACACCACTGACAGTTTGGCCCAGATAATTTTTTGTTGTGGGGGCCGTTCTGTGTGTGTCGTAAGATGCCTGACAGCAACCCAGCCTCCTCCCACTTGGTGCCCGTAGCACCTGCCCTCTCCCCCTCCCCACCCACCTGCATTTTGACAACCAGAAATGTCTCCTGACATTGCCAAATATCTCCTGGGTGTCAAAAGTGCCCCCGGTGGGAAACCGCTGCTCTAGACTCTCATCGTGTAGGAGAGAAGGAGAAACACGCAAGAAACGGGAGGCAGCGAAGGCTCGGAGACGTCGAGTAACTGCCCAAGGTGCACAGGCAAGAGAAAGCAGAGCGGGCAGCAACCCCAGCGACACCAGCTGAGAGCCGGCTGCTCCCCGCCCTCCGGCCCCTGACCCCTTGGGGCCCATTTTTCAGAGGGAGAAGCAGAGGCGCAGAGACAATGAACAACCCGAGAGGCCACAGAGCAAAGTGGGTAAGGGCCCTGGAGCTGGATTGGCTCAGGCCCCGCTCCTGCCACTCAGTAGCTGGGCGCCTCCAGGAGAGGGCTTAGCCTCTGTCTGCCTCGGCTTCCCCACCTGCCACATGGGGATAACAGCCCCTGACTTACAGAATGGCGCGGATGCTAAGAGCTGAGAGCTTGCCGGCAGGCGGCAAGCTCAGGCCGCGTGAGCTCGACCCCGCGAGCTCAACCGTGCGGCGCTGGCGCCCAACAGGGCAGGCGCTCTGCCCGGGGCCCTTCGGCCGCTCGGCACCTCCTCTCGGAGCCTCCTTTGGAAGGTTGCTTGGTGGCCTGTGTTCCTCTCTGAGTCTGGGGTGTCGTGGAGGCGGTTCTCAGCCCCAGCCTGAGCCACATGTCACCAGTAGGGCACAGCCTGTGGTTTGTGGGTGCCCCGGCCCGGCAAGCCCCAGAAACCTGCCCCAGAGGCCCAGGGCCCTCTGGGGCAGGTCGCATGGGGCTGGGAACCAGGAGGCGGCATGTGGAGGATGGGAACAGGGCTCAGCCCTGGTGAAGGGCTGGAGAGGTGGGGTGGGGGCAGATGGCAGAGCAGGTCTGGGGGCGGCCTGTGCAGAGGCCTGGGCAGGTTGGAGTGCCAGGCCGCCTGCCAGTCTTGGGTTAGCAGCACCCTCTTTCTGTCTAGGAATCCTGGTTCTTGGGGTGCTGCCTCCCCGGAGAAAAATGCTGGTTTTCCAGCCTCCTCTGCAGCCGAGGGGCAGCCATGGGCCCGGCTCAGCCGACCAGGTGTTCCCACACGAGACACGGATCTGTAGTGAGGTGTGCACAGGAGCGGGTGTGGGAGGCCCTACTGGGCAGAGATGCCAGCTGGCCAGTCTCGTTTCCAAGGGACAGCGGCGCGTGGGGCTCGGGGCGGCGTCAGGCGTGCTGGCTGAGGGGCCCGTGGTGTCCCCACGGCCAGGCCTGCAGGGGGGCCCTCAGGCTCCTTCCCAGCCATATAGCCTCCGCATTCGGGTCTCTGATGCCCCCTCTCCGCTGAGAAACTGATTGGGGATCCAACTAAAACCCTGTCGTGAGCTCCTTTCCTCCGGAAGCAGGCTGTTGTCTCCTCTACCCTGGGCGCCCCGACCCCAGCCTCTAACGACGGATGGATCTTCTCGGGGGGGTCCTAGCGGGGTTCGGAAGGGCAGCCCTGGGCTCTGCTTTTTGTGACTGACACTTGTACAGGTGAAGTAAAGTTGAAATCACTACAGAGGGCTGCCTTGGCCAGTGTGTGTGTGTGCGTGTGTGTGCGTGTGCGCACACAGCCACCAAATGAGGATGTGTAGCTTGAGAATGAGGTTTGGGGAGGTGGGGGCAGCCCCACTGCTGGCTCTGAGGGCAGGTGGGTTCGGGGCTGACGACGTGAAGCGTGTTCGTCCTGCCCACCTGCCACCTCCCCGCTCTGCGTCCTGGCGCGGGGCCTGGGCTTGAGTAGCACCAGCCGTGAGAGGGCGGGCAGACAGACAGACAGACCGGAGGCTCTGGCTTCTGGCCGCCTCCGGCCCCCTCTGGCTGGCCGGCCCCTGTGCCAGGCCTGCCCCAGCACTGCGGAGGAGCGGGGAAAGCGCTCCTCCCACACAGGAGTCCGGGGCTGGAGGGCACCTCTGTGGTCACACTGTGTTTTAGCCACCGTGCTCTGCTTTCCAGTAAAACCAGTGCAGCCCAACCACAGCCGAGGTGCCCTGGGAGCACCTCCCCAGCCCCCACCCCAGGGCGCTGCAGCTGGGTCCAGGGCTGCTGAAAGGGAACACACCCACACACACACGTGCACCCTCAGACACGGACTGGGCGGAGGGCCTTCACTCTTCATCACCTGCGAAGCCTGCCATCACCTCCCCCAGCTGATCCTACTCACCTGCTGCTGCAGTCGGCGGACCGCAGGTCCCAGCCTTGAGGGCTTTCTCAGGCAGCCCAGGGTCAGCAAGGAAGAATGCTCTGAAGCCCCGTGTGGCAGTCCTTGGGCGGGAGTATCACGTGTGCTGGGATGTCTGACTCCAGCGCAGGAGGAGAGGGGCCAGAGACGGTGAGCGGAGGAGAAGGACTAGGGAGAGGAAGGAGGGAGGTGGAGACGGGGAACAGCCGAGCAGGCAGAGCGGAGGAGGGAGCAGGGTGGGGTGTGCTGAGGTGGGAGGCAGGGAGAGAGGGTGCAAGCCACGTGCAGTATTGGGGTCCTGGCCCTCCCCAAAGGCAGCCTGGCATTCACAGTCCTGGCAGGCTGCGACCCTGCCCACCCCAAGGCACAGAGGCGAAAAGGACCCGGTGACCGCTGGATTCGGAATGCGGCCTTGCCGCGGGTCTCCGGCTCTGCTCCTCGCCCTCCTGCCTGCAGACTGCGTCCTTCTTGACTGTCGCCGGTGCCGACATGACCCTCAGCCCCGACAGCCTGCACAGAACAGCTGCCCCACACTCTGGCCGGGGCCGGGGGGGGGTGCCGTGCGTGTGTGAGCGTGTCCCAGTGACAGTGGGTGACTCGTACGTGTACACGTGGGTGTGAATGCGTGTGACTGTGGCTGTGGCCGCCCTGGTAGTCCACGTTAACTCCCTGAAAGCTCCTTTTGCTGTAAACGTGGATGGGGGGTCCTGGGTTGGGCCTGAGCCTGGGGAGCACGGGGCTGGAGGGGCTGGGGGAATGCCCAGCCTTCTCTTCCCCCCAGACCACGCTGCGTTCCTGCACTGGGACGCCAGGCGACGGCCGTGCCGAGCCGAGGGCTTGGGGTGGGGGTAGAGGTCGGGCTTCAATCCCAGACTTCCTGCGGTCCACGACACACCTCCTCCTGGTGGCCCGCCTGCACCCTAACCGAACAAGTCCGCAGCCAGCACATTCTGCCCCTTCTTCCCAGTTCCTGCTCCGTTCTCCCCATCCAGGCGCCCGGTACCACCTCCCCAGTCTCTTGGGCTGGGAGGAGGGAAGCTCCTGCGGCGAACTGGCCTTGGCATCCAAGCCTCACCGCCCCCCTCCCGCTCGTCCAGCAGTCTGTGTTGTTTTACATTTTAACCTGAGGGTAAATAAGGCGAAGAAGCCAGCTCCTCAGGTGCACTGGCCACACCTCACGCTGTCAGCCACCTGTGGCCGGCGGCTACCACGTCGATGGCGCAGACACGGAACATGTCGCTCGTGGCAGGATGCGCTGTTGGACAGGGCTGCGTCTAGCCTCTCGCAGTCCCCAGACTCGGGATCTCACGCGCTGGGACCTTGGCTTGTGCTGGAACGCTACTAGGACGCCCCTCCTCCTCTGTCTGCTCAGGGGGCCCCCGTCCTTCGTCCAGGCTCAGCGGCCCCGGAAGCCCCCAGACACAGCCAGCCCGCGTGGCTCCTCCTCCGCCTCCCGGCCCCGCGCAGGCTCCTTCTTACCCCCTGGCCATCAGCTCTTCTCTGGCCGGGGCTGCGGCTTGTGCCCTTCCTTTCCTTGGCACGCACCCTTTCTTCTCTCCAGCTGTCCTCGCCCCTCTCCCGTCCACCCGCTCTTGCCTCTCTCTACCCCGTGCCCTGGGCTCCTCCCTCACCTCCCTGGTCGGCCTCGCGCGCCTGCGTTTCCTCTCCTGATTCCCCTTTCCCTCGGTCTCCTCTCCCTCTCCCTCTGCTTTGCGAGAGAGATGCTAATTGCACCTGCAATTACCTAATTGCCATGGCAGTTAGCCAGTTGCACTCTACTTGGAAGGTGCAAATGGCAAATTGCAGGCATAAGGAGGTGCTTTTAGGCACAGAACTGCCTGGAGAACTCGACCTCAGCCTTGAGGGCTGAGGGGAGGCTGGACAGCTGGAGAGAGCAGGGTCTGGAGCGTGAAGTTCTCTCCCAGCCCAGGGAAGGTCCCAAGGCGGCGGGCGGGTGGGAGTGGGGCCAGAGGGCGGGCATTTCCCTCTAAGCAAGTCACGTAATCCGCAGCGTAGAGCAAGGCCAGCCTGCCGGCTTCGATGGCAGTGATTTTCGTATTATCACTGGGGCTGATGAGGACTAATCACCGATTCTCAGCAAGGCCGTTCAGGGTGTGGAGAAGGGGTTCCTGACCCCGTTCCCGGAGGGCTGGGCCGCAGGCCTGCTCTGGGAGGCCGCTTCTGGGGAGCCGACCTCTATCCTGGGCCGGGCGCAGTACAGGCTGGAGAATAAACGCCGCTGGAATTCATGGGTGGGACCTGAGCCTCGCCCTCCCAGCCCGTCCTCTGGGAGGCAGCACTGCTGGGGGCAGAAAGAGGCAGGATGCCCCCCCCAAGGGAGATGGCCCAGAGCAGCCCCTCCTGTGCGGCCAGCGCCCAGTCAGCCACCCGCTTTGAGGTCAGGTGGCTGCAAATCTGGACGGAGGTGACCAGGGCCTCAGCCCGTGAGGGCTCACCCCGTGTGTGCCCTTGTCCAGAAGCCTGGACCCTGGGGGTGGCCGGGATGGGGGAGGGAGCTCTGGGGTGCAGGGGAGCCCACCTGGGGGGACGGGGCTGCGAGCGTGTGGAGGACAGGCCTGGACGCTGCCTTGGCCGGGCCAGGGTGCTGCTGCTGCATAATCCGTGCGTGCGTGGAGTGGCCCTGGGAGAGCTGCTGGGGAGACAGGGAAGATGTTGTGGCGCTGGTTGTAGCCCTGACCCCTGCAGTAACCTGGCACAAAGGAACCCCGGGTGATAACTGACCCCTGCAACGTGCCACACGGGCCGGGGTGGCCTGGTGGGCCCTGCGCAGGGCTCCCGGTTACACTGGGAGACAGACGGCACTGTGAGCACTGCAGGCCAGAGCAGGGCGGCCCTCATCCACCGGCTGGGAACCGAACGAATGCGGGTTGAAGGAAGGACTGGATGGCTGGCTGAGTGAATGAGCAAGCTGCTGCCTCTCTCTGGCCCTCCGTCTCCCATCTGTGAAATAGGAGGCTGGGCTTGACCAGTCCATCCTGAAGCAGTCCCTCATGCTCCCTGGTGCAGCCTTTCTCCCCACCTTTGCTCTCGGGGTCCCTGTGGGGGGCCCTCCCCTCTCTACACCCCCCACTGGAGCCCCCTGTACCCCACCCCCATCCGGTTTGGCACTCCACTGGGTACTTCTCTGGGCCTTGTCTTGGGCCCTTGCTTCGCTGATGAAGGTAAGAGATGTATCGTGGACTTTCTTCTCCTAGTCTGTTGTCAAACTCTGCAAACGGGGACAGGTTGACTGGCTTTTAAAATCCCAATGCTCTCCAGCCTCCAAGGAGTGAAGCTTGGGGACCAGAGAGCCCCTCAATCCCACCCGCTGGGGGTGGGGACAGTTTGGGGGAGGGCTCAGAGCTGGAGTCCAGGGGCTGGGCCCGCCCAGGCCAGCACCCCCACCTTCCCGCTCATCTCAGTCTCTCTACGCGCCTCCTCGCTGGCCTCAGAGGGACACCAACTAAACACAACAGCCAGCGTCCAAGGCCGTGAGCGCAGGTTAATTAATTCACCGGAGGGAAGGAAGGCTGTAGATAAGCGATGGGCGCGGAGGGGAAGGGAGGGGGCGGGTTTACCCACCGGCGGGTTCGCAGAGTGTCCGCGCCGGCAATGCAGGTTAATGAGCGCAGGCCTCCTTGCCTAGATAGTAGCGACTGCAAATAAAAAACGAGGAACAAGTCGCCCTCCCTGTGACCCGGACGCCCCCAGTTGTCGTTTCCACGCTGATGCTGCAATTTTCCTGCTCCTCGTGCTCCCCGGCGGCTGGCGGAGACGGAGCCCCTTCCCCCGAAAGGAGAGACAGGTCCCCCACCAGGAAGAGAGGCGGGTGGGCGGGGAGAGGGGGCAATGGGAACCCAAGCCCAGGCCTGGTGGCCGGCCAGGAGGCCGAGGACAAGCCGCCATCTGCTAAGCAGAGGAAGAAGTGAAGCTGGACGCGTCAAATGACCCGGCCGAAGCTGCGGGCCCCGGGGCTGGGTGGCAGAGCTAGAAATTCGTCTCCTGTGACTCCAAATCCACGTCTACCTCCTCCCTCCCTCAGCATTTGTCAGATGGGGAAACCGAGGCACGGGGCTTGCCAAGAGTCTCCCAGGAGAGCAGTGACAGAGCGGGGCTGGGAGCCACACCGGGACGCCCCAGCCAGGGCTGTCATCTGCTCGCCCCCTCCTATCCTGCCCAGGACCCTGTCCTCCTGGGCCCTCCCCTCGCCCACGCCTGTCCTACCCTGACTCCACACGCCCCCCACCGCCTGCTCTTCCAAGGAAACTGCGAGACCAAAACCCTCCAATTCCCAGCTCTCCTCTGGGTCACCAGAGCAGCAGATCCAGATTGCCAGGAGGTTCTCATCACACGCCTCTGTCCTTGGAGGTCACCCTGGCTGGGGACAGGTGCAGGAAAGCTTCTCTGAGGGACTCAGCCAGCCCATGCGGTGCCTTTGTGTGATCTGAAAAAAAGACACCGCCCCTCTGCGTACACAGCCCATGCCAGGGCTTCGGTTTGGCTGGTGGACCCAGAGTGGGCTTCAGTTCCCAAGTGCCTCCCCCGCCCTGCCCCGTCCTCCCATCCCTGCCAGGGAGCCTTTGAGCCGCGCACACCCTGCACAGCCTTCTCCAAGACAGTAGAACTTTCATGAAAATTAGATGAGGCTCTCCCTTCTTCCCTCCCCCAACCTCAGCCCCCTCTCCCCTAGCATATGTTGAGAAAGGAAAGACTGAAATACATGCGAACCACAGCAGCTCTTTGCTAGAAGAAGCAATGGGACTTGGGGACCTGGCCCCTGGGTGGCCAAGAGACAGGCCTTGGGAGGTGAACACAGAAGCAGGTACAGCCAGAAGGCGGCTCCGTACTGGACTCTGGCCCGCTGACCCGGGTCAGGCCCTGCCCCCGGCACGTGGGTATCTGTCTCATCCCACTGGGCACCGTGTCTTGGTGGCACCTGTGGGAGGAGAGAGGCCTCATTCTGGACAATAGGGGAGGGAGGCGGGCAGGGGCAGGGTGTGCCACCTGCCTGCTGGGGCGATGGGGGACGCCCCTTGGTGACTCCCTGAGTGCTCCACGACAGGCCGGCCCAGGAGGACACCCACCCATCTGGGTACCCGCTCTGCCACATTGTCATTCCGTGACATTGTGCGTGGCAGATGTCAAGCACGGATTAAAACCCAGTCCGTCTTGCTGTTATTGTCCCTAATTACTCGCCGGCTGAGGGCTCCCTGCAGAGGAAACTGGCCCCACCTCAGGCCCCGGGCCTCGCGGGCCCAACCCCCTGCAGCAAATCCGCGCTCCCTCAGCCCACTCAACACGCGCACACACGCCGGGCAGCCCCGCTGGGCTCCGGCTCTGCCCGGGCTCTCGGGGGCGGGTCCTCGGCCTGCAAGCACACAGCCGCCGCCTCGGTTCCCACCGTTTCATCCGGGGCAGCGGCCCCTCCCTGTGTCCACTGGTCTGACCAGTGCCGGAGACGGCAAGGGCCGCGAGGAGACTGGCCTCTCACACTGCCTCCCCTCTCTGGGGTGGGGCGGTGGCAGGTGTGGGGGGCCGGGGGTGACGGGGAGGCAGCCGGGCGGGCCAGGCCGCCCCCCCGGGTCC